AATCCCACAGGCCCCTCCATCCCAAATCCCACAGGCCCCTCCATCCCGCATCCTGACGGGCACCCACAGCTCTGGCAGCGCAAAACCGCTCCTGAAAAACCCCACTGTCCACAGGATTCCTTCTTTCCCAGCCGCTGCTGGTTCGCTGCAGCTCCTCAGTAATTCAGATTTAATCGGGGTGGGGGCTCAGCCTCTCCCCCCTCCCTCCGTGCCCTCGAGCGGGACGCACATCCCGGTGGTCCCGAGTGCATCCCGGTGGTCCCGAGCTCCCGTGGGCTCCAGGTCAGGGCTTGGGGGGCAGGGGGGCCCCCTGCACCTCCTCCCCGTTGTGGGTGCCGTCGCAGTAGGGGGGGTTTTGGGTGCGTTTGCAGCCGCAGAGCCAGGCGGGCCCGTCCTCCTGGGGGGTGAAGCGCAGCGGGGACATCCCCGGGGCCGCCTTCGTGTGGGAGCCGTCACAGAAGGGCTGCGGACGGACGGGCAGGGGGTAAAGGGGGGGTCTGGGGGTGCCCGGCTGCTTCCCCGAGGGGTGTGTGAGACACTGGGGGGCCGCGACCCCCCCATCCCACTCACCCTCGGGAACTGGGGGGGCGGCGGGAGAAGCCGGGGAGGGAACAGCGCCTCGTGCCCCCTGAAAATTCCAATCCGGGACTGGGGGGAGGAAAGGGGGGTCCCTGTGGGGTTGGTCCTGCCCTGACCCCATCGGCATCCCCGCACATCGCAGGTGGAGGGAGCAGAGCCCCCGGACCCTCTCTGGAGTCCCTGGACCACCCCCAGCTGGCGGAGCCCCCCCGGAGTCCCCCATAGCCCGGAGCCCCCCGGACCTCCCCGGCCCCCCCCAAACCTCCCGGCTCACGGAGCCCGCCGTGATCCCGGAGCCCCCCAGACCCTCCGGAGCCCCCCATGACCCGGACCCTCCGGATTTCCCCGAGTCCCCTCCCCGAGCCCCCCCGGTCCCCCCTGCCCGACCTGGCGCTTGCTGTGCCCGCACGAGCACCACGCGTACTTCTTGCCCGCCCTCAGCTCCACCGGGAAGGGCTCCTTGGCGGCGACCGCGGGCTGCGGGGGGGTCGCGGAGCGGGAGGAGAAGGGGGCCCGTCCCCGGAGCGCTCTCAGCAGAGCCCCGAGCGTGGCCGAGCCGAGCCGGTGCATGGTGCCGGTCACCTCGCCGGGCTCACCGTACCCCGCTCCCGGTCACCTCCCCCGGCGGCTCCTCCTCCCGCGTCGCCGGAAGGTTCGGGCCGGGCGGGCTCGGCGGGAGCGCCGGGCTCGGTGCGGGAACGTTCCACCGGGAGCGGATCCGCGGCTGCTGCCGGTGATGGTCCCGGTGATGCTCCTGGTGAGGGTCCCGGTGATGGTGCCGGTGATGGTCCCGGTGATGGTGCCGGTGATGGTGCCGGTGATGGTGCCAGTGATGCTCCTGGTGAGGGTCCCGGTGATGGTCCCGGTGATGGTCCCGGTGATGGTGCCAGTGATGCTCCTGGTGAGGGTCCCGGTGATGGTCCCAGTGATGCTGCCGATGATGCTCCCGGTGCCCAATCCCGCTGTCCCTCCCGGTGCGCGGTCCCAGTACCCGATCCCGGCTCCTGTCCCGGTGCCCGATCCCGGCGCCAGTGTCTGATCTCACTCCCTGATCCCGGTGCCCCGATCCCGGTGCCAGTGTCTGATCCCACTCCCCGATCCCGGTGCCAGTGTCTGATCCCACTCTCTGATCCCAGTGCCCCGATCCTGGTTCCGCAGCTGACCCCGGTTCCCGATCCTGGTCCCGGTCACGATGCCCGATCCCACTGCGCGGTCCCAGTGCCCACTCCCGGTTCCCGCTCCCGGTGCCCGATCCTTTTACGCGGTGTCGGTGCCCAAACCCAGTCCCTGATCCCGATCCCGGTCCTGATCCCGGTCCCTTTCCCGGGCAAGAAGGATCAGGATCCCCGGCTCCCGAGCCCTCCTCGTGCCTCAGCTTCCCCCCACCTTGGCTTTGGTGCTTCCAGGGAACAAACCCTTGGGAGAGGGGAGGACTGGGGAGCTGCTGGATGCTCGTGAGGTCAGCGAGTGGTTTTGGGCCCTCAGTGTGGGTTATCCCTGTTTTTTTGGGGGGAAAACCTTTCCACCAACTGCTCCTCTCTTGCCCTGGTCTCCTCTCATTCCCAAAGTGAATCCCACTCCTGCATCCCAAGAGCATCCCTTGCTCCCGATGCTGCCACACATTCCCTGTGGAAAGCAGGACCCAACACCTTTCAGGGAATTCATCCCACAACCCCTATTCTCGTTTAAATTTGCCCCTTTCCGCATTAAAAAACTCTTTGATATTAATATTAATATTATTTATTATAATAAAGAACAGTCAAGCAGCGTGAAAAAAATATATCTTAGCTACATTACCTTAAATTGCCAAAAATATACACATTTTTCTCTTTTATTTAATTAAAAAAACCCCAAAACAAATCCAAAAAAAAGACACATGCAACATACTAAATGAGACATCAGCATCAAAACGGGTAAAGAAACGTACCCCAGTGCAACTGAAACACAGATAATCTTTAGCTTTTCTTTTTCCTTTCTCCTTCTCTCCCTCTTTTTTTTTTTTTTTTTTTCCACAGGGATACAACTGGTGACCTTCCAGCAGTGCCCCCCTTCTCCCCTCCCCTCTCCCCTCAATCTGCCAAAGGGACCTTTGGCTCTGGGACAGGTCGAGGTGACAATTCCCAGGGATTGGGAGCCTTTGGAAGGTGTTGGAGAGATGTGTGTAAGTGCTTTATGTCTCTAATCCCCCTCGTCTTCTCTGGCCTCATCCCACCTTGTCCCAGGAATCCCGGGAGATCCAGGGGGGGATCATATTCCAACTGCTGCCACCACCAAGCAGGGGGCCAGGGATGCTGCACAGCTCAGCCCTCCCTGATTTAACAGCGAGCCTGCCTAAAAAAAACCCCACCCAATTCCTTGATTTCCAACCTCTTCCAATGCCTGGGTTCCCAAATATTCTCCCAGGAGTGGTGCAGAGCCCCAGCCAGCACCTCTCAGCCTTCTCACTCAATAAGTGCCTCTCACTGACCCCCTGTGTGTCTCCTGCAGGGATTTGGGCAGCAAATCCCAAATTTAGGGGGATTCCAGCACGGATTCTGGGTGTTTTGGGAGATCAGTGCATTGTACCACAACTTGCTGCACAAGGGATTGATCCCAACAGCCTTCCCTCCTTCCCATCCCTCTCTCCCTGGTCCTGGCACGTTTCTGATTCCAGGGGGTGAAACGTGGTTGAATTTTGGAAGAATTTGACCAAGTCTGGGCACGACCTCAGGGCCTTGGGGTTTTATCTTGGGCTGGAGGTGACGGGCACCACGTGGGCAACAACATGGCAACGGGAATTTGGGATCTCTGAGTAACAAACAGTGAGAAATAAAATAAAAATCCTCCCCACTTGGACAAACAGGGGTGGCAGAGCCCAGGCTGACACTCCTGCTCACCCAAACCAGTGCTGGGGAACGTCTGCTCTCAAATCCCAAGGGTCTGAGGGATGGCAGGTCCAGCTTTGTGTGTGTGTGCAGCCACCACACAAAAAACAGGCACTTCAGGGCTGAGGGGGCAGCCCTGAAATTTAGCATTTTAGCCCTAATTTGTTGAATATATTTGCTCTCTGTAGCAGCTGCTTTCAAGCCCCAGACTCCTCACATGGGAGGGGGGCAGCCAGGTGAGACCTGAGGTTTTTACAGCTCACCTGAGCCAGGTGAGCCTTAAAAAACAGCTCCTGCACTGAGCAGGGGGTCCCCGTGCCAGGGATTTTGGGGGGCACCTCTGGAGGTTGCCAAGGAGGGGGAACAACACAGCTGAGGAGGAGGGAGGGGGAAACAAGAGAAAAAAAAAATCAAAAGGAGTTTAAAAAGTGCAAGGACACAATTGTGCCAGAGCGATTTTGGGGGCCAGGGAGCCAAAATGCTTGGGTTGAACTGAAAGATCCCAGTCACAGCTTGGAGGTGGCAGGTGGGGGGAGGTGGCACAGCTCACCTTGTCCCTCAGGAGGTGTCTGGGGACAGGGATGTGCCAGCGAGACCCTCCTGGTCTGTGCTGCAGGGCCTGCCAGGAAGGGAGGCTTTTTTTTTCCTGCTTTTTTTCCACTTTTAGCTGCCATCTCCACCTTCCCAATAGCTTCTTAACCTTGTTAAAACATTAGCTTTTCTTTATATATATATATAAAAAAATTATATATATATATTTTTATATATATATATATAATATATATATATTTCTGGGCAGACAGCAGCATTCTGCCCAGTTCACAGAACTGCAGGCTGAGAGCAGAAAAGGTTTTCTCTCTCCTTTTTTAGCCTTAATTCAACCATCGTGGTGACAATCTTCCAAACAACCAAATAAAATAAAATAACATAAAATAAAATAAAAATGGAAGAAAGATATTTAGCAGATGAGTTTTTGCCTAGGACAAGCTTTTCTAGTACATCAGCACAGCCCCACTGCTGACAGATTTGAATAGTGCAAACTAGTTTTAAAGGCAGTGGGAATGTGCTGAAAAATGTCATTAAGGTCCAACAACTTGGTTTTTAAGACCCTCAGAGTTTTTTTTTT